GATATTTTTAGCACCTACTCCATATGATTGTACATTTGAGAATCAGCAACAACCAATATGTAGTTGGACTCAGGACACCTCTGACCAGTTCAACTGGACACCAAAAGTGGGCAGTACTGGTTCACTCAACACAGGACCAACTTTTGATCATACATTACAAAATAGAAATGGTAAGGAAATCAATAATCAGTTTGAATAACAAGAATGTCAATAATTTAATGGGATTAAAATTTAAATTCTATTATGAAGGCAAAGGCAAGTCAAAGGCAGTTCAGACTGTGGATAAGTTAGTTAACACTTTTCTGTTTTATTAAAAGATTGTTTTATTAGCTCACCTGAGCACGAAGTGCTCAAAGGTGAGCTTTTGTCATCACTCTGCGTCCGTCGTGCGTCGTGCGTCCTTCAAAAAATGGCGTCAAACTTTTCAAACAACATCTACTCCTAAACTACATGGCCAATTGCAACCAAACTTTACAGAAATGATCCTTAGGTGGACCCCTTTCAAAGTTGTTCAAAAATTTAAATTCCATTAAAAACTCTGGTTGCCATGGCAACCAATAAGAAAAACTTAAAAAATCTTCTTCTAAAAAACCGTAAGAGCTTGAGCTTAGATATTTGGCATGAAACATCTTCTAATGAGTGCCTACCAAGTTTGTTCAAATCAAAGCCCTAGGGTCAAAATTGGCCCCGCCCCAGGGGGTCATTGATTTTCCCTATATGCATATAGTAAAAACTTAAAAAATCTTCTTTTAAAGAACTCAAAAAGCTAGAGCTAAGATATTTAGCATGAAACATGTTCTAATAGGTGTCTACCAAGTTTGTTCAAATAAAAGCCCTGGGGTCAAAATTGGCTCCGCCCTGGGGGTCATTGATTTTCTTTATATGTGTATAGCAAAAACTTAAAAAATATTCTTTAAAAAAACCCAAATAGCTGGAGTTTAGCTATTAAGCATGAAACATCTTCTAGTGAGTGTTTACAAAGTTTGTTCAAATAAAAGCCCTAGGGTCAAAATTGGCCCCGCCCCAGGGTGTCTTTGATTTTCCCTATATGCATATAGTTAAAACTTAAAAAATCTTCTTTTAAAGAACCCAAAGAGCTAGAGCTAAGATATTTAGCATGAAACATCTTCTAATGCGGCATCATACTTGCGGCCACCTTTATTAAGCGACTTTTTTATTGAGCGGCCGCATAAAATCCCTCCCGATGATATTTACTATTTAATTTAATTCCATTAAACGACTATTTTATATCGCGGCCAGCGGCCACTGAATGTCGGCCCAAATGTACAAAATTAAGTGTTAAAGTATCTATTAAACGGCCGTGACAAACAATCCTCCCTGCGGGCAGTCTCACCTGTGTAATCAGCGAGTAGGTTAGATGTGTACAAGCAAACAAACAAATAATTTTCATGGTCATTGGTCACAAATAATTGTCGTTTAAAAACGAAATGAATAACAATTGCAATCGTTTCAAAATCGGATTTTCCGATCGTACTATTTATTGTGACATATTTTGTCAGAGCAATAACGTATCACAACACCGCTTTTGCATAGTTTTGTCATGTGCTGAGATTGACCTCCCTTATCGAAAATGATGTCGGATCGAGCGAAAAAAGACAGACAACTAATAAGACCGGATAAATTGTATGAGGAAATCGTGCATGGAATTGAGTCTGAGTAAATAGCAAATGTCATCGATTGTAGTCGAAATAAAATCTTGAAACCTAGTAGACTAAACATTACAATGCCGAGCCTTTCATTGCTGATGGTGTAGACCTGTGCTCATCTGATGCTTTACAAAATACATGTAGTATCCCATTAAATATGACCCTTCGACAAAAAAGGCAAAAAAATCCTAGATCTCTAAAAATCTTATTGAATTTGTAATCGGGGTAGTGTGAAAACTAATTGTTGAAAAAATCAAGAAGTTTATTAAAACTCATTGCATAAATAATTATCTGGAGCTCTGGCTGATGATTCTAAAGTATGTTCAGCAGGAGATGTGTATGAACATATTAAAAATATAAGACAATATGCTTTGTATCATGGTCAAAATGACCTGTTTACAGTATTATGAGCGTAAAACACATTTGTACACAAATTTCTACTAAAAATCAAAAACAAACAATATTGATGACTTTTTTTTTAAAAAAGGCATAAATGTAATTATAAAACGGTAATACATACATAATATTGTATAGTTTTTGTTTTTATAAAAAAGATGTTATTATATCTATGACTTGTAATAAAAAGTCTCGAATTTTCCAGAATTCTATTGAGAGACCACTTTATTAAGAGACCACTTTTTGGCAGTCCCTTGAGTGGTCTCTTAATACAATGTCGACTGTATATATATATATATATATATATATATATATATATATACATGCATACATATACAACCAAGTTTGTTCAAATAAAAGCCCTGGGGTTAAAACTGGCCCCGCTCCAGGGGCCTATATACAGGTGAGCGACTTTGGGCCATCATGGCCCTCTTGTATGAAGACATATCTTGATTTTTTTAGGGGGTGGCATTTAGTAGGATGCTGCCACAGAATTAAAAATATATTTGTATTATTATTAACATGCTGCATGTTTTGTTTTATTCACTTAGATCTTTAAATTATCTCAATGTAGTTGATATCAAGTGATAGATTATGATTCTTTCTATGTGTTTTAGTATCATGATTCCTGAGCAAGACCTTAAAACATAAGTACATGTACAAAAACAATCTTTTAAGGGTTTCTATAAATTACTTCCATGTAATGTTATGTGCTGATTTATTTTGTTTCTCTAATTAATTTGGAGGTTTATGGTGAAAATATACTTGTAATGATTAAAACCATACACTCTATAAGTTGCCACAATATGAAGATAATTTTAGTTTCATTAAAAAACTGACAATTTTTTTGAAGTTCACCTGAGGACAAATTGTCCTCAACTAATGAGCTTCTGTGATGGCCCATTGTCTGTGTGTCTGTCTGTGCATCCATACGTCAATAATTTCTTTAAACAACCGCTCCTCCTAAACCATTTTGCAAAATTTGTTAAACTTTGCTGGGATGTTCCTTGCAAAAAAGCTCTACCAAAAATGTTCAAAGAATTAAATTCAATTAAGAACTCTGGTTGACATGGCAACTGAAAGAATACACTTAAAAGATCTTCTTGTGACAATCAAAAAAAGCTAGAGCTTAGATATTTGGAATAAAACATCTTCTAGTGGATTTCTACCATGATTGTTCAAATAGAACCCCTTGGGTCAAAATTGGCCCCACCCCAGGGGTCATTGATTTTCCATAAATGTATACAGTAAAACCTAAAGAAAAATCTTCTTGTGAAAATCCAATAGAGGTAAAGTTTAGATATTTGGCCTTAAACACTTTCTAGTGGATGCCTACCAAGTTTGATCAAATGAAACCCCTAGCTCCAAAATTGGCTTGGCACCAGGGGTCATTGAGTTTTCTTATATGTACTATTGATTAGTATTTTTTGTGATATTTTGATTTTCTCTATTTTTATACGCCCGTTTGGAAAACGGGACGTATTATGGGAACGCCCCTGGCGGGCGGGCGGCATCCAATTTTGTCCAGTGCATATCTCCTACATGTTTGGAGGGATTTTAATGAAACTTCATAGAAATGTTCACCACTATGAGGAGCAGTGTCGCGCAAATGAATCAGGTCTCTAGGTCAAAGGTCAAGGTCACACTTAGAGCTCATTGAAAAATGCTTGGCCAGAGCAAAACTTCCACATGTATAGAGGGATTTCAATATTACTTGGCACAAATGTTCACCATTGTAAGGCGGAGTGTTGTGCGCAATATTCAGGTCCTTGCGGCCAAGGTCAAGGTCACAAATAGAGGTCAAAGTTCAGATAAAAATATGAAGATGTGTATAGTATATGGACCATTTAGTCATCATTTATTGAGGGATTGTAACACAAACTGTCATTATCAAGACTATGGCTGTGATACATATAATTTAGGTCAATATATACAAGGTCAAGGTCACTAAAGATGATGAAATATTCAGATTTTGTCTGGAGCATATCTCCTACATGCATGGAGGGATTTTTGGAAAATTTAATAGTAATGTTCACTATTATGAGAAGCCATGTTACGCACATGAACTAGGTCTCTAGGTAAAAGGTCAAGGTCACACTTAGAGCTCATTGAAAAACGCTTGTCCGGAGCAAAACTTCCACATGCATAGAGGGATTTCAATATAACGTGGCACAAATGTTCACCATTGTGAGGCAGAGTGTCGCACACAAAATTCAGGTCCCTGCAGCCAAGGTCAAGTTCACACATAGAGGTCAAAGTTTAGATAAAAATATGAAGATGTGTATAGGGACAATTTAATCATCATTTATTGAGGGATTGTAACACAAATGGTCACTATCATGACTGCGGCTGTGACACATGTACTTTAGGTCAATATATGCAAGGTCAAGGTCACTAAAGATGGTAAAATATCCAGATTTTTTCTGGAGCATATCTCCTACATGTATGGAAGAATTTTTATAATACTTTATGGAAATGTTCACCACCATGATATGTATTGCTCTATGCATGATCCAGGTCTCCAGGTCAAAGGTCAAGGTCACACTTAGAGCTCATTGAAAAACGCTTGTCCAGAGCAAAACTTCTACATTCATGGGGGATTTCAATATAACAAATGTTCACCATTGTGAGGCTGAGTGTCACATGCAAAATTCAGATCCCTGTGACCAAAGTCAAGGTTACACATAAGTAAGTAAGTAAGTAAGTAAGTAAGTAAGTAAGTAAAGTCTTTATTTAATGAGGCTACACATTTGGTTTCCCAATCTTCCATGTGGGCCTCAAAAACATAAATATACATAAAATATACATAATTTACATCATGGTTATACAGTAAAGTTTTCAAAATACATATACACATGAAAACACAAAATATAATAATATATTACTTTATGAAACAATAAATAATTAAAAACACAATACATATTCAAAATACATGTACAATGCATGAACATACATTACTTTACACTAAATCTATGTAAGATCAAGGTACTTGAGAGAGATTCCAACTGATATAGGATGCTTGAAATTTTCCAACAGTTTCAGATTTACGTATGGAGAGAGGGATATTATTCCATAGTTTGGGGCCCGAGTAAGTCAGAGATTTTCTA